CTGGCTGTCTCAAATGTGAATGTGGATCCAATGATGATTTGCCAACACTGACTCCAACGCTGCTGAGGGCATTTGAACTGTATCCTGTAAAAACAACGAAAAACAAAAATTAGTTATTGAAAAAAAAAATAATTATTCTCAAAAACAGAAAATACAAGAAGTTTTGAAAACTTTACCAGAGAATGTGGAAAAAATGTTGACAAAATCTTAAAAATAGTTGGCATAATGTTCATAATTTCTCTGATTTTCTGCCTAAATAAGCCTGAGCTTAAGGCCTGGGAGTTTTTATAGACGACCCAAAGGCTTACTGGCCTTTATAGACGAGCTGGAACCCAGAGAGTCCATTTAGTCAAGCTGAAGCCCCGAGAGTCCCTATATGCGAGCTGGAGCCAAGAGAGACTTTATAGACGAGCTGAAGGCCAAGGAGTCTCTATAGACGAACTGAAGGCCAAGGAGTTCTTAGAGACGAGCTGAAGGCCAGGGAGTCTTTAGAGACAAACAGAGAGCCAGAGAGTCTCTATAGGCGAGCTGGTGGGCCAGAGAGTCTCTATAGGCGAGCTGGTTGGCCAGAGAGTGTCTATAGACTAGCTGGTGGGCCAGAGAGTCTCTATAGGCGAGCTGGTGGGCCAGAGAGTCTCTATAGGCGAGCTGGTGGGCCAGAGAGTCTCTATAGGCGAGCTGGTGGGCCAGAGAGTCTCTGAAGGCCAGGGAGTCTCTATAGACGAGCTATGACGGCCAGGGAGTCTCTATAGACGAGCTATGACGGCCAGGGAGTCTCTATAGACGAGCTATGACGGCCAGGGAATCTCTATAGACGAGCTATGACGGCCAGGGAATCTCTATAGACGAGCTATGACGGGCAGGGAGTCTCTATAGACGAGCTATGACGGCCAGGGAATCTCTATAGACGAGCTGTGAAGGCCAGGAAGTCTCCATAGACGAGTTCTATATTCTCATTTTTCAAAATCCTCCAACTCAACCAATATTTTCTTCTTCTGCTTGAATAAAATAACCAAATTCCTTCCCTCTCCTCCCCATCACCACCCTCGTTCATTCGCCCTCATCATCACAATAACCTATCCTTGGGCAATTATGTTTATGATATGTGCAGTATATCAAGTCCTTTACACTAACATGATTTGTTTCACCAAAGTGTGTCCTTTGACACTCGCCTTTTGTCGCCTCAAAAAGAGAACAACAAAAAACTTTTCAAATTTAAAAATTTCTGCTTCGATGCGTTTTCAAGACTACGGGGCAAAAATAACAATGGGGGCAAAAACACAACAATAGATGTTCACAGAAAAAAAATGAAAACCCCGAAAACCAAAATTCATATATGAGAAGTTTTGGAAGAAACCAGAGATAGAGAATGGGAGAGAACAAATTTTCGCCTCACACAAGAAATAGTCCTCCTTTTGCTAAAAAGATAACACAAGCATCGCCTTCTCATTGTTCATGTTTTACACGCTCAGTTGAGTTTTGCTTTGTGTTGTTGGCATTGCTGTTTTCAAAGTGAATTTTCAAAAGAGTTTCAATTCTGTTTTTTTTTTTTTTTTTTTTTTTTTTTTTTTGAAATGAGAACACAATTGCCGTTCATGGTGATGATGATGACGATGAACATTTTATCACATCTTCAGGCTTTATCTTGTTATTCTTCTTGTAACGCTTGTTTGTTGGCAGAGGATTGTGTGATGTTTTGCTATTTAACAGCTTTTATTGTTGGTTGGTTGGCTGGTTGTCACAAAAGAAATGATAGCAAGGCAAAGCAAATAACACCCACCCACACCTCTCTCTCTCAATCTCTCTGCTCGATAACAAATAACACCACCAAACGAAATCCAAACTCAATTCAACTGATTTCACACCATGAAGCCCTTAGGCTGTAATTTGTATTCTAGCACCATTTCTACTTCGGCCGCAATGTGCGAATGTGCTTTTTCGGTCCACAGCCAAGGAGGTGGAGGGATGGCTCTTCTCTTGGCTGTGTGTCGTACGCCTGTGTTTTCAGACTGGAGGGTATAATTTTAAAATTGAATAAATAGCCATGGGCATTGTTTTGATTTCTTTGTAATCACAATTCATTAAAAATTCGAAAACAAGGAGGACTCTCGATAAATGTTTGCCCAGCAGTGAAGTTGCTATTCATACATGAGAAGACCCATAGCTCTTCAATGAGAATACTATGAGAAGAGTTATTTTTCTTCTATGAGAAAAGTTATTTCTCTTCTGTGAGAAGAGATATTTCCCTTCTAAGAGAAGAACTGTTTCTCTTCTATGAGAAGAGATATTTCTGTTCTATGAAGAGAGACATTCCTCTTCTATGAAAAGAGTTATTTCTCTTCTATGAAAAGAGCCAATTCTCTTCTATGAGAAAAGCCGATGCTCTTCTATGATAGGAGCCGATTCTCTTCTATGAGAAGAGCCAATGCTCTTCTATGAGAAGAGACATTGTTGCTCTTCTATGAGAAGAGCCATTGTTGCTCTTCTATGAGAAGAGCAATTGTTGCTCTTCTGTGAGAAGAGCCAATGCTCTTCTGTGAAAAGAGCCAATGCTCTTCTATGAGAAAGCCATAGCTCTTCTATGAGAAGAGCCATTGCTCTTCTATGAGAAGAGCCATAGCTCTTCTATGAGAAGAGACCTATAGCTCTTCTATGAGAAGAGACCTATAGCTCTTCTATGAGAAGAGACCGATAGCTCTTCTATGAGAAGAGACCGATAGCTCTTCTATGAGAAGAGACCGATAGCTCTTCTATGAGAAGAGACCGATAGCTCTTCTATGAGAAGAGACCGATAGCTCTTCTATGAGAAGAGACCGATAGCTCTTCTATGAGAAGAGACCGATAGCTCTTCTATGAGAAGAGACCGATAGCTCTTCTATGAGAAGAGACCGATAGCTCTTCTATGAGAAGAGACCGATAGCTCTTCTATGAGAAGAGACCGATAGCTCTTCTATGAGAAGAGACCGATAGCTCTTCTATGAGAAGAGACCTATTGCTCTTCTATGAGAAGAAGACCTATTGCTCTTCTATGAGAAGAAGACCTATTGCTCTTCTATGAGAAGAAGACCTATTGCTCTTCTATGAGAAGAAGACCTATTGCTCTTCTATGAGAAGAAGACCTATTGCTCTCTATGAGAAGAAGACCTATTGCTCTTCTATGAGAAGAAGACCTATTGCTCTTCTATGAGAAGAAGACCTATTGCTCTTCTATGAAAAGAAGACCTACAGCTCTTCTATGAGAAGACCCATAGCTCTTCTATGAGAAGAGCCATTGTTGCTCTTCTGTGAGAAGAGCCATAGCTGTTCTATGAGAAGAGCCATAGCTCTTCTATGAGAAGAGCCACAGCTCTTCTATGAGAAGAGCCACAGCTCTTCTATGAGAAGAGCCATAGCTCTTCTATGAGAAGAGCCATAGCTCTTCTATGAGAAGAAGATCCATAGCTCTTCTATAAGAAGACCGATAGCTCTGCTATAAGAAGACCGATTGCTCTTCTATGAGAAGAGCGATAGCTCTTCTATAAGAAGACCGACAACTCTTCTATAAGAAGACCGATAGCTCTTCTATAAGAAGACCGATAGCTCTTCTATGAGAAGACCTATAATTTCTATGAGAAGACTTTCTTGTCTTCCGGGCTCCTACCTGAGTACTTCTGCTCTTCTATTTTAAAACCAACTGTTATTTTCTAAGAAGACCTTGTGGTCTTCTATAACAATACAATTTATGTTCCATGAGAAAACCTTCCACTCTCCACAAGGCAGACCTAGCGCTCTTCTCTAAGAAGTCTTTTGGCTCTTCTTTGACCTTCTGCTCATTTATGAGACAAGTTGTTGGTCGTATTTGATAATGACTCTTACTTTTCAACAGGAAGTCTTGTTGGTCTTCTCTGAGAAAACCTTCTACCCCTCTCTGAGAACTTCTGATCTTTTATTCGAATACCAACTGTTTTTTCTTTGAGGGAACATTCTGGATTTCCACTCTCCTCTTAACGGACCTTTCACTTTCCTAAGAACAGCCTTTGATCTTCTCTGAGAAGACATTTGACTCTTTCTGGTAAGACTTCCTGCTCTTTGCTGAGAAGAACTTTTGTACTCCTCTGATAACCTACTGAACTAGTTCTAATAAATTCTCATAAGTTGCAAATTTTTGGTCTTCGCTTTTTTTGGGAAACATTCTGGCTTTCTGCGAAATGAAATTTTAGTTTTTATGAATGCACCGCTCTGGGTTCTTTAGGATGTCATTTTGGTCTGTAATCTGAACATCTTCTGGAATTTTTACAACAGCTTCTCATTGGTAATGTGGCTCATATTTCCATATAAACTAGATTATATGGAATATATATTTTCCCCTCATTTTCAGACAAGCATTTCCTCCCCCTTCACCCCTTTGTAATGAAAATCAATTACCTCTAACTGTTGATCATAACTCATTAGGAACAACAATGCAACAACAACAACAATGATATAAATAATCAATAACAGTAACATAACATATTCATACAAACATTCCTGACATGCATAATAATGAACTCCTTCCACCCCTTGTCCCCTTCGCATGAGACCATAACTAACATAACCCTCAATTAAGAATATTCTGTCGCGCAACAAAACAACTGTAAACGTGTGTAAATTTGTGTGACAAACGATTTGTATCATCGTTGAAAGCCAAGCGCAAATAAAACATAACTTGTTATTGATTGATTGTCGATTATTGTTGAATAAATATACGCTTGGGTGAATGCATTCAAAACCCTATCGAACTACAAAAAACCACCACCACCACCTGCAGCAACACCTTTTGACTTTATCACCCCTCCACCACGAAAAGGACCCGGTGATATTAGCACGTACCAATATTTGTTTTTGTGGGTGTTGGAACACCTTAATGGTGCGTGCATGTATGCGAGTGTACCACACATACACCACACCCTATGCCACACAACCCTAGCCACATTTTGTTCATTACCAACCAATGACTCCTGCCAAAAAAAAGCCAATCATACATTTTGACACCTTTCACTACGATTTTTTGATTTTTCCATATTTCTTTTTGGTCCTTTGGATTTTCTTGCATTTTTCAGTGACGATGTATGACGTTGTATATATGTCTATGAATGTGTGTATGATTTGTTTGTCTTCCGGAAATGAAGACATTTTTGTGGGAGCGTTGTTGTTTCTTCTTCTGCTTCGTTGTGTGCATAGGAAAATTGGGTGTGTTAATTTTTTTTTTTTGTGAGGAATCACAGGATTGAAATTTGTTTCGCCGAGAGTTTTAGCGGTGATGAAATTGACTTTTAAGTAGTTGGAAAGTGTTGTTTTTTGGAACTTACCTTGTGACTGTGTTGAACCGTGGGATCCCCACGAGGATTTGTACGAAGAATCTGCAATGAGAGCAAAAAGTTGGATTATTAGTAACAATTTGAAAAATGGATATGAAATTCGCAATACATATTTTATGAGGTATATTTTCGAAGAAAAATATCTTGAATAAATCACCTTGATATTTTGACTCACCACATTTAAAGAATTCAACTTTTTACAAAAAAAAAAAATAATAATAATGATGAATAAATAAATAAAATAAAAATATATAAACAAATTAAGGAAGACCTTCTAAAAAACAAACTAACTCTAATTTTGGCAAAACAAAAAAATTGTCTCTGCGAAGTTTAAAAAATGGGCACTGTTCTCATTTTTATGAGAGTAATTATTATATAAGATTTCAATGTTTTCTGAAACAGCTGCCAGAAAGAGATAGATGAAATTTTCCATTTCATTTCCTGATAACATAATTATGTATAGTTAATTTTGGACCATGTCCTTTTCACAAGCCCTTTTTATACCCTACACCTCATAGTGGTGAGGGTATTATGTCTTTGTGCATTTGTTTGTAACATGGAGAAGGAAGCGAGATAGACTCATACTTTTGAGGATCTCCATAGAATCACTTTCTGAGTTGATTTATGCATGTCAGTCCGTCCGTCTGTCCATGTATTCTTGTGAACAAAATGCAGGTCGCATTTATTATCCGATTGAGATGAAATTTCAAAACAACATTTGTTTGGCCCAAGAACGAACCCTATTGAAATTGGAGACAATCGGTCAAAATTTAGATATGGCTCCCATATATATCTTCGTCCGATTTGCCTTTTATTGTGCACCAAACGTGTAATATCAGCCCGAATAGCATAGAATTTTGCAGATACAACCAAATTAGGCTTGAAAATAAGTATGCCAAAATTTATCGAAATCGGTTCAGATATAGCTATAGCTCTCATATATATTGTTCATCCGATTTGTTATTATTGTCCTCCGCAGCTGTAATATTCACTCTGTAACAACAATATTTGGCAAAATATATCAAATGCAGCTCAGAAATACCTTTGCTAAATTTTATTGAGATCGGTTCAGATTTGGATATAGCTCCCATATATAACTTCGTCCGATATACATTTTATTGTGCACCAAACGTCTAATATTTGCCCAAATGGGATGACATTTGGCACTTACGACCGAATTGAGTCTAGAAGCTAGTATGTCAAATTTGGTGAAGATCGGTTCAGATATAGCTATAGCTCCCATATATACTGTTCATCCGATTTGTTATATTTGTTACCCACAGTCGTAATATGCACTCCGTAATAACGATATTCAGGGAAATATAGGAACTACAGCTCAGAAATATCTTTGCCAAATTTTATCAAGATCGGTTCAGATTTGGATATAGGTTCCATATATATATCAAATGGGCAATACAAGCCCGAACTTAAAAGATACCAAGATATTTAGTCCTTTGAACTTTAAATTATAATTATAATCATAGCGTGTATGATTGAATTCTCCCATAAAAATTTGTAATTGTTATGCAGAGGTCTACTAAATTAGCAAAGTGGTGTAGGGTATCGTAAAGTCGGCCCCGCCCGTCTTTAAGACTTTCTTTACTGGCTTAAAAGGTTGCATTCATGTGAAAAATTTAGATGCATTGATTCTTAATATTTTCCAAAACCAAGGATTTGGGGTTAAACAACACCGGAATCGTTTCAAATTTCGTATTTGCAGTTCGTAACGGATACTACAAGCCTGTGACAGAAAATGGGATATGTAGGTTCAGGTCATCGTATAGCATCCATATAACTGTACCATTCTATATTCGGTAATTTTTATGATTTTAACAGCGTTTCAAATTTTTTAGAGGGTATTCAATGTTAAGATAAATCATAAAACATTAAGAAAATGGAAATATAAACTTTCTTTTTTTCTCATAAAGAAGTTTGGATTTTGATCACTTGTGTATACAAACCTTACAAAGCTTGTGAATTGTTTTGTTGCGATAAATTTTCTAGTGGGATTTATGTTGGCTCATATTTCAACTCAAAAATCCAACTAATTTGCTCGGCAGCAATTTTCAATATTTTAAAACAAATCAAAATTCAAGACTTAAATATTTATTTTTAAGAATCTACTTTCAAATTATCAGGTAAATATTTAAAACACTAGCGCTGCTGGGGATTTTTAGTTTTTACTCAAATACCGAATATAGGGAGGTACAGTTATATGGGGCTGTGCGAAGACCTGCAGCTGCATAGGCAATTTTCTGCCACAGATTGAAGTACTCATAACGAATTACAAATACGAAATTTGAAACAATTTCGTTAAAAAATGTCGCAAAAATCATCAAAATACCGAATATAGGGAGTACTGTTATATGGGGGCTATACCATACCTATGGACCTATCCTATATATGGACCGTGGACCTATCTTAATTTTAGTACCGTCTGTGGGAATCACTTTAGTTTCCGAACGAAATACAGTAGGTTGATAGAATTTTACTCAAATATGTCTTATGTCTGCAGGACTATTGGTATTGAAAATGGGTCCATGTTTTAGTAGAGCCCCAAATATAATGGTACCTCAATTTTTTCGGTACTTTGGTGATTTGAGCAACATTTTTCACCGGAAATGTTTCAAATTTGGCATATAATGTTCGTAATGGGTACTACAGCCTATGACAGAAAATTGTCTATGCAGGTCCACGTTTTCTTATAGCCCCAATATAACGGTAGCTCCATATTTTGATGATTTTAGCTACATTATTCACCGATTTTTTTTTCAAGTTTCGCATTTTAATATTTAAACCTTAGAGGTAGTTTTTTTTATGGCGCCCAAGTGTTTTAATATCGAAAATTTCCTTATGCCAATATATTACGGCTATGTTCCATGAATTTTATTTGAAGTCAAATTTTTTTTATCACTATTTACCAAATTCGGGCCGTCTAGAGGTGTTGCAACTAGCCCTCTAAGAGTTGTTGAACGTTTGTTCCAACAAATAACACTTACGGGGGACTTGCTGCGCTTTGGGGCTGTCGATTTGAAGCCTGGGTACGAGTAGGTCAATTTGACTAAAGTCGCAAACTAAGTCAAGAAAAATAATTTTAAACCCAGTTGATAAGTCTGCGGAAAAACATAGCAGTTAGAAAATACGATCCAAAATGGCTAATTTCAGCCTTGTTCACATTTATAAGTCAATAATTCGAATAAAATTCAAAAATTATTAAGAATTAAAATTAATGGTGTAAATTATTGTTATTCTTGATTGTCCCGATTATTTCTAAGTTTCTCCACTTCCAAGTTCGCAAAGGAAAATGGTTGTTCCTTTTAAAATTCACCTAGGAGGGTTATTACAAAACTTACACCTATTGATCTCTTTTTGGGGAGAAAGTTCATGTGACAGATATATAACTTCCAACCTGCTTAGAAAGAAGTAGGTGTGAACAACTCCGCTGAAAATGTTCTGAAAATTTGAACAATTTCTCAAAATTGGCCTGCATTTGTCTTTGGAACTATATCCGTTTGTGATTTCTTTGCTAGAGGATTTGTTACTTTTAAAAACTGGATATGAAGCGCGACCATTTTCGAGACTCGAGATCCATGGGCGAAAAGTTTAGAACTGTACTCTCTCTCTCTCTCTCATTGGTGACTACAATCAGAGAAATACCTTGGAATTTCAATCTATGTTATAAACTGGAGAAGTTACAAAATTATGGAGAAATGTATTCATGATTTTCACCCATTAAATAATAATTGCATTTCGAAGGCGACTTCAAGGTCTTTTTGGGAAATGTTTAAAAATGGTGTGTTCTGAAAGAGTTGGAATCTGACATCGGAATAAACATTATTATCTATGTACATTCGATTCCGTTATCCCTCGAGAAATATTTCCTGTTGTCATAGATTGAAATCATCATCAAATTTACGAAAGAGGTTATGTTTTAATCACCTCTAAAAAAGTTACCGACAGTTGACGTTCGAACTTAGTAGTAAGAAGAACTGTTTAAGATGTTCAAGATTACTATTTACTAGATAGGTTTGCGAATGTGTTTTTCCAAGGTGTATTTACATGGTAAAACTGCAAGGCCAGCTCCTCTCTTCGTTTGCTGTCAAAACACAATTTATTAATTAAGAATAAGCAATGGCAACAAGCCAGGCCGCGCTAATCATGAGATACCCTACAACACTACAATTTAAGGTAAAGTTTCTGTATATCTTAACACTTTTAATGATCAAACACCTCAAGATATACATATTTCAGCTTCTTGAAAATATAATCCTGAATAATTTAATAATTTTCTGTCTTATTATTACATCAATCAGTTCGAACATCACCAATGCCACAAGATAATGCCAAATTCTGTGGCAATTACTTCAAAGTCACTACCGCTGTCGTGTTAATGGGAATTCGAAAGAAATTTTAAAATGTTGATTCATATGTATTGTTTGCCGCATCTCCGATTTCAGTCTTCATAAGTCTTCGTCACCATAATGAGTCGGAGCCACCATAATGAGTCGGAGAATGGACTTTCTTTATTTAAAATATTTCAAGGGATATTTTTCAGTTTATCACACAAAAATTACGTTCCGTTTCACCCGCTCAATATTAGTTGATGACCATTCAAATGCTAGGCTTTTGCCCTCTGACCAAGCCCTAACTTTGCGCAAAATTACGCTTCGATCGGTCTATAATTGTTACCTACAGAGTTATTGGAAAATTAGGAAATTATTTGCAATCATCTCCCACAACAATAGGCTTCCATTTTGACCCTCATTTTAACTCCATGTAAAGGATATTCGTGAGGATAGCGCCATAAATTCAACCTGTGGCGTGATAACAAATAACTATAAAGAAATGGACGGACAGACAGACGGACGAACACACATAGCTTGATCGACTCAGCTCGGTGAGAAGATCGATATGTAGCATCGAGAATCTAGGACGAATATTTCGAGATGTTATGAACTTTATCGACGAAGCAAACCTATAATGTCCCTCAACACAGAGCTTTGAAGCCTATAAAAATATGTACCAATTTTTTTATATATAAGTGCATAACATTGAAATATGAAATATTTGAAATATTTTTTAGTGTCTTCTTCCTTTTTTATTAAAAAAAAAACGCGAACAAAAATGTGGATAGTAAGAGAAGACCTGAATTTACATTCTCCGCATCCTTATTAAACTATCCTTGAGTTTTTTTATATTTTTTAGTATATCAAAAATTTGCAAAAATTGATATTTGAACATTTTTTGAAATGGGTTTGCCGTTTGAATTTAAATAATTCCAAATTTAATTCGAATATTTTTAAATTATTTTCTTTAGCAGAAAATTTGAAGTAAAATATTTTGATAACGATGGATTTGCAATAAAATATTTTACTAAAAATTGCATAAAAATTTATGAAAATTTGCAATCATAAAAAATGTTCAAAACATAAAGGAATTCACATTTTCGATGGGTCTTGAATTCATAAAAACCGCCTACATATCTTAATCCAAAATACCAACAGAGACCACAGTGTCAAATTTCAGACTTGTATCTCTATCCTTCACCAAATACCCAAATTAGAACCACTTAGTACTTTTCGAAATATTATAGTACACATTTTCAAAAACACCTCCATATTTAAATTCCAGATACAAAAAGAGATCTCAAAATCAAATTTGAGGATTCCAGTAGTATCAGTTCTTCAGCCAATAACAAATTTAATACCATTACTTAATTTTCGTACAATTGTTGTACACATTTCCGAAACCACCTCCATATGCCCAGGCTACGTATGAACAGAGGTTCTAATTCAACTTTCAGATTTTAAGCACTTTCTGTTCAACCAGTACAAAATTATAACAAATATAGTACTATTTATTAATTTTCGTACACTTGTAGTACATATTTCCAAAACCACTTGTTCGTCACAAACCTACTACCAACAGGGACTCCAAAACCAAAAAATTTAAAATTTCACCTTCATCAGGTCACCGTCCACCCTAAACCAAACTTTTACCAATTTAGTACCACTTTGTACAGTTCGCACATTTAGTATGCATTTCCAAAAACAACTTCATATATAAGTTTGTTTTTCAAATTTTTAGCTCTATTCGATCACCTAATAGCAAATTGTAAAATTTTTGCAGTTTAGTACCATTTTAGAACTTTTCGTAACCATGAAGTTCGAATTTTCAAAAAAAATCCTTTAGTACATCTATCCCGCACTGCATCAGTGACTCTCATCCAATTTCAGAATTCTAACTCATTTTATTTGTCCAATACAAAGTAATCAAAACATTTTAAGTACATTTCAGTACTTTTCGTACCCACACGCCAGCCTTTATATGAACGCTTTTTCAAAACATTGACCGTCATTGAAAAATTTCCACAGGGATTTTGCCTGCCCCACTAGAAACCAAAATGCCAAAATAACGGCCAAATCAATTGAAAAATGTGGCCAAGACTCTGGACGTAGCTGAAACCAGGGGATATCTTCAGAGTTATACCAGAACATGTAACCCATAGAGCTGTAAAAGCTCTATCCTAAATTTTGTAAAGTAAATTATTTGAGGGTTTTTGTGTGTGGTAAAAAGTGTATAGGGTCCACTTGGAATTTTCCACAGCCCAGGCTGGCTCTTGGACAGAGAAATTCTCTGTTTGATGGTATTTGACGAAAAAAATAAGGTTGTATGTATATAGGTACACATGACATTTTTTCATGTTACATATTGAATATTCAAATTTCTTTTGTTCTGAGACCCCCAATAAAATTTCATCTGGAATAGTTCTTCCTTTGACACTTTCTGCAAAAAATGTGGTTTAAAGGGAGATTTTGATTCGGATTGGATATATGTTAAATTTACTGTAATATAAAGCAAACACATACTTTTCACTTCACTTTTCACATAAATTTCGAATGCAATTTTCTTTAAAAAATATCGAACTTAGATATATGATTTATTCCGGGATTTATAAGGAATTTTTGTGTAGAATATTTCTTCTTTTGACATTTTTTGCAAAAAAACGAAATTTTATGTTACTTTCAATCGGCAATTCGAAAAAGGCAGAGGAAAAAATGCTAAAAAAAAATAATGAAATATTTTTGAGTTTTTCGAAATCTTTAATGCAATTTTTTTTAATATCTAGTGGAATTAGAGATTCCCGGCATTTGATGACTTATAGTAAAATTTAATAAAGAATATTGGTGTCTTTGAGATTATCCTTCAAAAATGATGTTTTGTAGGAGATTTTTTCATAAATTCATAGTAATAGGGAAATGTTTACATTTTATATCAAAAAACCTTCAAAGGCTTTCTTTTGACCGAAGAGGATTAATAATATCCTCTCTGCACAATGTAGTACATCGATTTCGAATTTTCTTAAAAACTTTTGTACTTATAAATAAAATCACTTTGTTTTATTTTATCAATATTTTATTTAAGTTCACAAATTTCCTCTTCTCGGATCCACAAAATGTTTTTATAAAAAAAAAGTTGTCCATCTTACCTGCGAATAACATTGAAAAATTGCTAAAGCTTCCGGTCGAACGGGACAAATAATCAGCGGATGGTTTGATATCGAGCATGTTGTGTGGCACAAAAATGGACTAACGACGGTACGGTTTGGTGGCCGCTTTTGCAAAGCCGCCGACGGAAAAAAACGCGTCTTGCGATATGCGTTGGTCAAATACTGATGCTTGGTTTTTCGAATACAACACAAATAAATCAAATAATTGTTAAATTTTATTTTCGAAATTTATTTTGTTTAATATTCAAAAATTGAATACAGCATTGTTGGTGTCAGCTTCACTTGGTTTTTGTTTTCGGTGGTCAATGAAAATGGCGACAAATTATTGGTAATAATTTTTTTCTGTTTTTTGATTTAGTTTTAGCTGAATTATTTTTTTCCGCTAATATTGTTGTTGTTATGTATTTCACTTTCACGTTTTGTTGTTTTTTTTTCTTTCTTTCTTTTTTGTTGTTAAAAAAAGGGCTAAACTGTTCCAATGTCTGTTTGCTTCGATTGCCTGGCTGTTTGTTGCTGTTCAATGTCAAAAGCGGAACAGGAAAAGGAACGGGAAAAGTAACGATCGGAACCGGTTACCGTTACCGGACACCTCGACTTCCGGACAACTTTGGTAGGCGAAAATAAATATATGTGTGTGCGAAGCTCTCTGTGCGACTAGATGTGAGAGTTGGATACGCGCTTCTAAATTTCGCTTGGCAAAAATTACTCTATTAGCCTTGGCTAATTTCGGTTTTTTTATTTTTGGAATATTGTTTTTTTTCGATTTTTTATAAATTATTTTTTCCTTTGAAGCCCTGGTAGGCTTTGTGGCGGAAAAAAATTACGTCAAACACTTTTTATTTCGTTGTGAAGTTGCGTTTATTTTTTTCTTTTCGGCTCAGTTCAATATTCATGGGCTGTAAACTGCAATGGTTTTGTTGGCTGGTTCGGTTGGTTTGTTCGATGGTTGTGTGACACCGGATTGCGACTGATCTGTGGCACGGTAACGTAACAATTGATTTCATTCCGTCGTCAAATCGCACATATCCTGCCAGCTACCGGCGCGTAGTAGTGATTTCATTTTTGCAACCCCCTCGACATGGTGTGTGTGTGAGTGTGTGTGTGCGGCGCTGTGGCTTGAACACTTTTTCGGGAATTTTTCCCTCCCATACTGAGACAGGGATTTACAAAAGTTTTCAAATTATTTGTCCAAACCTTGCAGGGTATACGTATGTGTGTGTGAGTGTGTGTGAATAGACATCAATCTCTGAACTTGTTGTCTCTACAATTCACTCTACATGGGGGTGGGTGGGCTGTGTTGTTATTGTAAAACAACAACAATAATGTGAGGGGTGAAATAAGCTCGCCCTGTGGTTGGGTGGTGAGTGGGTGGTTGGTTGTCGGGTTGCTTGCTGGCTGGCTCCTTCACACAAAACTGCGCCTGTGTATGTCTCATCAGCAGCACTCACACACCCAATAAACCCCATGACTGTGAAGCCAAGTGAAAGCAAGAGAGTGAGTGAGAGCTGGCTGGCTGGATGGCTGACAGCGCTGCCGGCGCGTGCCACACAATGTGGCACCGGCAGTACTTACATTTATAATCCGCAACCAACACCCGTTTTCCGTTCAAACACCAATCAGGGCTAAGGCAAGGTGTGGCTTGTTGGCTTTACAGAGCCAGAGCCATTGCCAGCCAGCCATCCAGCCATAAGGGAAGCTTGCACAACATTTCAAAATTCATTTTTGTTACCCCCTCCAACCCATCCCCCCCCCCCTCTCCCAGGAAAATGCCAAACAAAAAGGCTGTCATGTCATGTAATTAAAAGCTTTTCTGATTTTCCACACACAACGCTTCAGCGAATTCGTTAATATACTTGAAGCACATACCCCCCTCTCTCCCTCCCCCGCCCCTCCGCAATCTTAAATCATCGTCATAATCAAAAAATGCAAAAAACAGCACATAGTGGGAGCATTAAAACAAACATTGAAACGCTTAAAGCAAACCAGCAGAACAAAACAAAAAAAATTTATTCATACAGCTCAGCGAACATCAGCGGATATTTTTTGTCAAATTGCTACCTCTCTAAGGAAGAGAAGGATTTTGCAGTTTACAGCAACGACAGCAACACCTACACTACTAAAAATATTTGTTTACATTTTCTTTTGGACAGTGGGGGGGGTCTAACTGTCCCTTCCTCCCTCTCGCCGTTGACTTTAAGGAATGGGAAATAAATATCAACAAATTCGTGGTCAAAATGACAATGGTTATCATTTTTAGAGACGGGGGTATGGCAAACAATTGTGGCTAGTTTGGTGGGAATAAAGTCTAACTGAAGCGATATAGGTAAATTTCGAACATATATTAGCATATATAGTCGTATTTTGAGAATCTAAAAAATTATTTTAATTACTCCAACATCGAAATTTATTTTTCTTGACCTCCAGATTTTAAATATTGAAGGGATGGATAAAACTGACGAACAGATTTTTTTATAAGCTTCAATAAGTGGATGACGTAAAATTAAAAATGTTTTAAAAAATCAATTAATAAGTCGGTAACATCGCAGCGAATATTTAAACGTTGCTAACAATTTTCTCTCCTAAAATGGGTTGCACCATAAAGTTTTGGATTGGAAATCCAATATATGTTTAGAGAAAAATCAAATCGAATCTTTTTTCGAAATTGTCTGAACATAAGCTTTGTACATACTCAACCATGAAATGGAAGGTATATTAAAATTGTAATTGCGTTAGCTACTTCTCAAAAAAATCACCGGAGACTCCATAAAGTGTAAATTCATGAAGAGCGTAAAATTCTTTATAGATTTTGGCCAGTTCCGTCTGTCGGTACGTCTCTTAAAATCACGATAGAACTGTTAAAAATATACCTTTGGTGGAGAGGCATTGATATTGAAATTTATCGGTTTAGAAAAAATGTTAAATTTTTGACAGGACGTCCCTTTTTTCAATAACGGATTAGACTCTTAAAAATTTGCTTCAATTTTAGGAATTTTAAGAGTTACCGATTATGACGAATGATCTCTAAGGCAGTTGAAAAAATGTTAAAAACGTCAAAAATAAATTATTTTTCAATTTTAGGAATTCGATTTTGATTATTTTGCTCTGGAGGCCATTTAAATCATCCCACTATTAAAAAGAAAACTTAAAAAAACACGGATTTTAAATCCAAGATTTCTTTAAAGGAAGTCTTTAAAAAACCTGTCAACACGTTTTTAGCAATAGAAATGTTGTTAAAACATCTCAATGTCTTTTTTTTTTTTGTTTTTATTAGCATGTCTATATAACATATCCACCAATCTTAAAATGTTTCTTCAATAAATAATTTTTTGAAAAAAATTAAAAGTTCATGTCCTTCAAAAATAGATGTTGTTAAAAAATAATCAACAATTTTAAGAGCATCCTAAAAATATTCCATGATTTTTGGAATGAAGTTCCGCAAATCAAGATTACGAAATTGAGTGAAATTTGGAAATTAAAAAAAAATACTTTGAAAAATATTGATAAAAATCAAAACAACACAGAATATAGGGAGGTACAGTTATATGGGTGCTATACGATCACCTGGACCTACATAGGTAATTTCACGTTACGAACTTACAATACGAATTTTGAAAAAAAAAAAAAAACTGTGTATAATGTCGCTTAAATCATCAACATACCGAATATAGAGAGGTACCGTTATATGGGGACTATACGAAGGCGTGGACATGCATAGGCAATTTTCTGTCGTAGCCATTGGGAACATGGAATACGAAATTTGAAACAATTCCGGTCAATAATGTCGCTTAAATCATCAAAATACCAAATATAGGGAGGTACCCTTATATGGGTACTATACGAAGGCCTGGACCTGCAAAGACAATTTTCTGTCATAGACTGTAGTATCATTTGGGAAATTGGAATACGAAATTTGAAACAATTTCTGTGAATAATGTCGCTAAAATAATCGAAATACTGAATATAGGGAGGTACCGTTATATGGGGGATATACGAGAATGTGGACCTCAATAGACAATTTTCTGTCGCAGGCATTAGTTCCTATTACGAACTTACAATACGAATTTTGAAAAAATTTCCGTGTATAATGTCGCTTAAATCATTAAAATACCGAATGAAGGGAGGTGGACCTATATAATCCATTTCAATACTAAAAGTCCTGCAGAACAAACATACAACTGAGTAAAATTTTATCAACCTACTTTAATCTAGCTAGAGTGATTTCCACAAACTGGCGGAAATGGACATGGAATTTATGCTGATCCATATATATAGTCTTTGTGGGATCTAAAATGTATATTTCGAGGTGTTACAAACAGAATGACAAAATTAATATACCCTCCATACATGGTGGAGGGTATAAAAAACAATATAAATTCTTTAACAAAGTGCGTCCCAAGTTCTATTAAGTCCATTTGGAATTTTTCTCAACCCAGACTGACTATTGCGCAGCGAAATAAGAAAATTTGTAATTGTAGAAATAAAAATGTTTTTTTTTTATTAACAAGCAAGTAAAAAAAAATTAAGTTCGGCCTGACCGAACTTTTAATACCCTCCACCTTAGAGTAACCCATTATGTCCAACAAATAGCAATTTTTAGACAAATCCGTAAAAAATGTGACAAAAATCATCAAAATACGGCATATCGGGTGGTACCATTATAAGGGGGCTATACCTGGACCTATACATACAATGTTTCGCCACACGAACTAGGACCTATTTTGACTTACAAATGACATATCATACAAATCCGTAAAAATATGTGGCAAAAATCATCAAAATACCGAAAATTGGGAGGTACCGTTATCTGGGGACTATACCAAAACGTGGACCATTTCATTTTCAATACCAACCATCCTAGACACAATACAAATTGTTCTGCTAAATTTTGACGCTCTACGTCAAATGGTGTGGGCTGTATAGTGATTTCAACAGACAGACAGACATATGGACAGTCGGACATCGTTAAATCGACTTAGAATTTTATGCTGATTATGAATATATACTTTATGGGGTCTACGACGAATATTTAGGGATGTTACAAACGGAATGACAGAGTTGGAGGGTATAAAAATAATTATGTCGTTTTATGGTATATATTGAATAGGGTAAGTGTACCAGTAGTCGGCACTTTTAGGATTTTCGATTTTTCAATCTTTCAA